GTCAATATAGGATAATTTCCTCCATGTTGTAATTCTGCAGTTCAACTTTGTTTGAGCAAAATGAAATCAAGTCACTCCAAAAAGGTAGTTGTATACAGTGGTGGGATTCAAATATGTGAACAACCGGTTTTCTGTGTGGATGCCGCTTTCAGAAGTCCATTCTGGACCTGGACAACAAAAAATTAGCTACCGGTTCTGCTGAACTGGTGTGAACTGGCTGAATCCCACCACTGGTTGTATATTTGGGGGAATTGGAATGAGTAGGACTTGCGGAAATGTGCAGCCAACCCTGTTCTTCCATCTGTGAAATGGGTGTCATGGGTGAAGTGGACTCACAGTCTCTCTCCCATTTCATACCTCTCTAAAAAACTCCAAATTCCTCTTGAAGATTGGGAACGTTCCAGAAGAAAAAAGACTAGGCCCAGGAGTGAAAAAGAAATAGCGTAACTATCCAGAAATGACCTATGCCACTGGCTCAAACCTTCTGGAAAAAAATCAGAGGAAAAGGAGACAGCATTTTTAAAAGGAATTTCTTTGTAAAGAGAATTAGCTATGCATATTCTTGTTCCCCCAGTTTTGCAAGAATTCTCCCAGTCTTATTACCATTACTTACTGTCAATATATCATATCTTTTGTCTTTATTGTTTTGTATATCTTTGCCAACCTGTAAGTACTTAATGAAACTGTTCATTCTAGTTAAAATAGTTCTCTTATTGCTAATGAATAGACAGACAGTTTGGTGTAGTGGTTAGGACACCAACTAGAAACCAGGAGACCGTGAGTTCTAGCCCCACCTTAGGCACAAAGCCAGCTGGGTGGACTTGGGTCAGTCTCTCCCTCTCCACCTTAGGAAGGAGGCAAACCAATTCTGAAACCCCTGCCAAAAAAACTGCAGGGACTTGGTCAGACATACTCTGAGATATAATTGAACAGAGGGGGGAAAACTAATGGATAAAATTAATAAGATAAACTAAGAATAGTATTGTGAACTACATGGGAAAACTTTCTGAAAGGCTATTGATTCTATCTGCACAGGTGATGAAAAATTCTTTTTCTGTTTTCAGATTTTGTGTCGGGTGTCCCAAGAGCAGCAAAAACTTTGGGCATGGTAAGGAAAACAAGCTAGTGTTAAATAATTAATTTATTCTTTTTAGCAACCATTCAAATATACGATGGTATAGAATTTTATTTATATATATTGTGCAGGTATCCATTTACAATGGGGAAAGCATGGCATCTATGTATAACTTCACTGGAGAACAGGTATGAGTTGGTTTCTATAAGAGGAAAATATTTTTTTATATTTATGTCTTTTACCAGGGTAGGAATGTTGGTCATATAATATACAAAATAAGTGAGGAAAAACTAGGAAAGAAAAGTATTTAAGAAATAAAATGTGGTCATAAGTCAGCTGTAATAATCAAATTCGAACATCGAGGCTACTGTGTATCATAATTTTGAGAAAAGGTGTTCTTTCTGGTGATCTTGGCTAAGCTGATGGAAGATGCCTTCCCAGTTTAATGTTCCCTCTGATTCTAGCAAGTGGAATAACCGACGGAAGAAGAAGAGCCAATTATTAAGAAGAGCCTAAACAGGCCAATGGCAAACCCTTTTTTTTCATTTCTTACAGATTTAAAGCATATGGCATCTGATGTAATCACCTGTTCACTGCTAGATTTAAAATATCCACATCAGATATCCCTTGGAGATAGCTGATTAGATTGTTCTTCCCACAAAAGAGAACCCAGTGTCTTCTAAAACAGTCTGTTCCATGGCTGGCAATTTCTTACATCTGAATTTTATCCTAAAGCTTAGCCAAAATCTGCAGCTTTCCAATTTCAAGCCTGTTCTGATCCTCCTCATATATCTATGAGGAGGATATGTCTTTTGCTCTTTGAAGACAGCCATCCTGTCTCCACAATCTATTCTTCCCCCAGGCTCTTAGGGGTTTTTAACTGTGGAGCCTTATGCTCTGGGGAGTTGAGAACAAATGCTGCAGGAGGGAGAGAACAGGATATAAATTCAAAGATGGATCTTTGTCAGATGCTCTATCTAGTCAAAGTGATAATAAAGTCAAGATTTAATATAGGTTGCTGCTATAAAGAGAATGGCCCATCTAAATTAAACGTGGAACAAGAAATAAGAGTGGTGGTCTCAGAAATAAAACTCAGACTTTGGGAATTACATTACAAGTTAATTCTCCTCATCAGAAGTATGGCTTTGAATTTTATTTAACTTTTATTTGTAATTTCCAATGAAAATGTTTTAGTTTTTAAAAAGCTGCAAAAGTTGTTTTCATTAAAAATTAATTATTGAAACAATACCATATGTCTTATCTACCTCTAACCTCCGTTAAATTGTTATCCAAGGGAAGGATGGAATCACATCCATTCATTTATCATTTTAGGAGATCCCACAAAGTTGAAAAACTCTGCTTGAAGGCATCCATGTTGAACTTCAGTCCCAATGGAGCAGCCTTACTAATAAATATTTCTTATACCTCTTAAAATTGAAGTTCTATGAGTAGTTATGTGGGTGGAGAATATCCAGTGATGTACTTCCCTTCACATTACTATTAGTAAAATAAAAAGGATAAAATGTGATCCGTGTGCTTTCTATAACAAAGGGAAAAATTCTAACAAATACGCAGAAATAACTAGGGAAAAAAGGATATACTTCTAGACTTTGAAATATGCATGGCAAGAAAGCTTTTAGCAGATGTAAAATACCTCTCTAACTCCTAGTTATTTCTGTTTAATGCAGCATTTCTTTTGTTCAACTTTGTTACCCAGATAGCTGCTTATTTTGGATATTCTGTAGCTGCCACAGATATCAATGGAGATCAGTAAGTTATGCTTTTGTTTCATACTTCTTGAAAAAGAAAAAAAATATCTGGTTCTCTAAAATCTTGCCTAAGGTAAAAATAAAATGTTTGAAAGAAAAATGGAAATCTGTTAGCATGCATATTTAACTCTCTTCCCCTCCCACTTTTGGGGCTTTCTTCTGTTAAGATTGCTTGATATAGTTCTCCAAACATTTCACAAACACCATATATAATCACAGATAAGCTTGTCCACAGATAAGCCAATCCTCAAAATTTCGGCCAAAATACCATGAAAAATGCATCATCTGTGAATAAGCAGACACTTGAATTTTTAACTGCAACAATAAATGGAAAAACTGCAATGTCTTACATTGTTATTTGTACAAATCACATGATTTTAA